TGCTCTACCTTGTATTTACAGGATTTATTTACAGTATATTTTCCTCAAACTGAATAAAAATAAAAATTTCATGCTATAGTTCTACTGCACTCAGCTGCGCTGAACTGCAGCCCTGCTGCAGTCAGACTGTGCCTAGAATCCTTATTGTCCTTCCTTGCCTAAGCTATTTTAATGATTTAATTAGAACTTGACTGCACTACATTTGTTGCAGTCCTTTATTTCAAATTCCTCTTATTTACCATTAAGTTCGCTATGAATTGGTGATTCTGAATTCAAACTTCGCATTGCTATGCATACGGCTGCGCTAAGACTTTCTGCTGATTTATTCTATTTTTATCCAGTGACATTTAGTTAAAATGAGACTTGAAATGATAAATGAGTGAATTATTCAAGTTTAGAACCTGTCATATCCATCCCTGGCCATCGACTTCCGATCCCTCTGATCCCTCCAGTCTACTTCCGCTCCTTCTTCACTAACCTCGGAGCTCCCGTATTCTGCAATCCCCTTGGTACCCCTCGATGGTCACCACCCCTCCTTTCAATTTATTACCTACACCTCCCTAAGTATGGAGCCCTGAAGGCTTCCAGACAGCTCCGACGTCTGCTAGCGCACTCCCACCTCCGCTGGACAATACACTTGCTTGCCCTGCAAAGCCCACCTTCGGGCCTATCCCTCCTTTCCGTTTCTGGGTTATTGCCTGCCTTTCCGTTAACCCCGTAACCCAACTCGTCAGTAATATTCAATCGGCTAATGTCTAACCCCGTTAGCTCCGCTCCGCTCAGCTCCACCATTTGCGGACCCACCCTTGCTGTAACTATATATACTCAACTTGTACATAGGTTACACTTCAGTAATAAAATCGACTAGAGTTTACCCCCTTCAGTTCTGGTTGCCAGTTTAGTAAGTTAGGGCACGGATGTGTTACTTGGCACAGCGCTCCTGGCACAAGTCACTGAGGCCGAAGCCCTCCGCCACGGAGACACTCCTTCATCTCGACCAGGTCTCTGACAGAACCAAAAAAAGAGTTGCTAGTAGTTAAGAATTGATCAAACAAATGGTTCTCTGCCTTATTAGTATATCCTTCCCTAAATTCCTGCCATGGTCCATCATAGTTTTGTGGTTTATCATGGTTTTCATCCATTTCCCCTGGTTCCTGTTTGTATTATTGCATCCTAGTCCTTTGCATGTATTGTTTGTTATTATGATAGGTCATCCTCAATGATATCATATTTTTATGAATTTTATTTATCTCTAGAAGTTGTCTTCCCATGCTTCTTCAGGTTACTAACTTCATGTACTTATATCTCCCTCATTTCTGAATGGTTTTTCACGTTCTCAGCATCATAAATTTTCATTTAATCCCACCTTTCTAACGGTATTAAAGTCGTACTCTAACTCTCGGTATTTGTCAATTTAGCAAAAGTTTGCATGCACAATTGGTAATCACATGTGTTGTTCTCGTACTCATTTGTATGTGGGCACCATTTCTGTTTAATTAGTCAGGATTTATTGTATGCATGGGTGTTTGTATCCTCAATACAGGCTTCCATGATTTATTTCAGATTTTTCCCTCATGATCTAAGGTGTTTTTGTGTTCTCCATGGTTTGTTTTGACTGGAGGCTTCCAATTTGGACAGAAATTGGTCTTTGTGATCTGCCGAAGTGTGGATCTTGGTTCCAATGGCTGGTTCCCTTCACATCACCACCATCACGTGTCTTTAAGCATAGTGTGGAATTCTCTATTCCTGTCACTGGTGTAACCTCACAACAGCTGGGCCATTTGGCCTGAAACTTTGCATAGTGGTAGTTTCTAATATATCATACTTCCATGTAAATTTCCTTATGTGTTTTGAATATGGATTTTGCGTAAACGTCGACTTTTCCCTGAGCTATGACTTTAATGTTGCTCTTCCTGTTAATGAATATCTTATTGATGTGTGAGCCTTTTATTATGAGAATTTTCGTGGATTAAGATTAGATCCCTTCCTTTCTAATGGGCTATCATACTCGTCTCGGTTGTTACTGGTTGTTCTTTATGCTTCCCTTTTGAACGTTGGCCTCGTTTCCTGTGAATTTCCGTCATTTCTCTGTCATCTATTGGTAGTTTTCCCTGAAATTACTTTCATGGAGTCTATTTGGGAGGCATCTACATTCCCTATTATAAACAAAACTTTGAATTTTGCATTGGTTCCTATGGGATCCTTGTTCTGTGGTGCTTCCAACTGTCATATCTGTCAGGGCACACCCGCCTGACCCGGGCCCACCCGGGTCCACCCGGCCACACCTCACCCGCTACCTCGCTGCCCATCCTTTCCCTCCCTCCTTCCCTCCTCTTTCTTTCTCTCTTCTCTCCCTTCTCTCTTTTCTTTATTTCATTCTTCCCATCATTCCCCTCCTGTTTATTCTTTCTATTTACACAGACCACTTTCCTTTGTATCAATGTACTATTGACCCGCCTGACCCAGGCTCCCCGGATGGCTCCCCGCTGTGCCCAGCACGCGTGCCTGCACTGGATGCCCTCGGGATCCCCCATGGGGACACCCGGATGACTGCGGTTGTCTCCGAGGATGACGTGGCATCCATCATGTGACTCAAGCCGCATGTACATAAATGTACCTGAAGTGGGAACCAAAGAAGTAACCTTCTTCTCACCTTTTCCACTTCAGGTAAGTTAGTGTAGTTTTCCTTTTAATAACAATTCACCTTTTCCACTTCAGTCTAAGTGGCCAGGGACAGCTGTCCCATATCGGGCCTGCCAGTACGCATGCCCGATCTACCCCCCGCGAGGTCCTCAGCGCCGGGCGCTATACCCGGACCCCCTCAACCCCGGACACGTCCCTGACAATATCCATCCACAGCCATCGACTTCCATTACCTCCAATCTTTCCGGACTACCTCTGCTCCTTCTTCACTAACCTTGGAGCTCCCATATTCTGCAATCACCTCCACTTCCCTCGATGGTCACCACCCCCTCTTTTCAATATATTACCTACGCCTCCCTAAGTACAGAGCCCTGAAGGCTTCCGGACAGCTCTGACATCCACTGGGCAATTCACTTGCTTGCCCTGCAAGCCCACCTTCAGGCCTATCCCTCCTTTCCGTTTCTGGGTTATCACCTGCCATTCCGCTAACCCCGTAACCTGACTTGTTGGTAATATTCAATTGGCTAATGTTTAAATCCGTTAGCTCTGCTCCGCTTGGCCCTGCCATTCACAGGCCTGCCCTCACTGTAACTATATATACTTAACTTGTACATAGGTTACACCTCAGTAATAAAATCGACTAGAGTTGATCCCCCTTTAGTTCTCATTGCCAGTAAGTAAATTAGGGCATGGACATGTAACTTGGCACAGCGCTCCTGGCTTGAGTTGCTGAGGCCGAAGCCCTCCACCATGGAGACAAATCCTTCATCTTGATCTGGTCTCTGACACCAACCTTGGCTACATGTGTGGCATGGGAAAGTAGTTTATGTGGAGGTTTTCTGGTTGATTTTATAGTCAAATCTTACTCAATTGACCTAGTTTCTTGTTTGATATTTGCTATAAATTCTCCTGAGCGTTCCATCTCGTTGGTGCTGAGCTTGAGGTTTTTATTTTCTTTCTTCCTATTTGTCATGTAGTCGTAATGGTTCGTTAAAGTTCAGGTTCTTCTATTTTCTCATTTCTACTTGTCATATGGGGGTTTTGTGATTTTTATGGCATATTTCCATAATGAGTTTTCATAGGGTGACTGTTATTTCTCCTACAGTGTGAGTGAACACTTGGCTATAAGGCTCCATTGCAAGGCATTGTGGGGTTTGGGACTTCGGCTTTGACGACTCAGTTGGAGCGTTGCACCATGCATTCTAGGCTGTCCTGTGTTTCAGGTCAGTGGAGGGGACCTTGCAGTGATATTGACTCAGGCAAAGATGAAGTTAGAGGCTGTCAAACATGCCGATTTGGGTGCAGACAGGGGCTCAACTAGGGGGTTCCAGGAGGTCAGGTGGTGGACCGGAGCTTCTCCAGGAAGTGTCAGGGCACAGACGGTTATCCAGCCGGCCCGGACCCCTATCCGGATAGGTTGAGTACCCATAAGCCAATATCTGCATGTGATTTGCCGTAGTTAGAATGCAGGTTGTTGTTAGAGACCGGAAGCGAGACAAAGGAGATGTCTCCGTGGCAGAGGGCTTCGGCCTCAGTGACTCAGACCAGGAGCGCTGTGCCCAGTTACACGTCCATGCCCTAATTTACTTACTGGCAGCAAGAACTAAAAAGGGGGATCAACTCTAGTCGATTTTATCACTGAGGTGTAACCTATCTACAAGTTAAGTATATATAGTTACAGTGAGGGTGGGCTCATGAATGGCAGGCACCTAGTACTCATGACCCAATCAATATAAGTAGGTAACCAGGGGCTGTCAGCCAACCTACTGTCTTAGATAGTATTTCGGCATCTGAGTAGCTGCACCAATGCACTATCTGCACTGAGGAAATTTTATGGGAGGGCCTGAAAGCTCTTGGGTGCCTGTGACTCGTTTTTTCAATTGCAATAGTAAATGGCTGCACTTCTTCAGTGACTTTATCAAATGTATTACTGGCATCAACTTCCGATGCTCTGTCATCGCCGTTGCCATTGCCAACATCCCCAAAGTCGTTCTCCTTCACTTTTGCTCATTTTTTTCGTTCTTTTTTCTACTTGCTTTTCTTACACATCAATCTTAGCACTAGTCGTTCTTGTTATCGCCATCACAGATAGTTCCTCCGATCTTGTCCTCCCCAAGCCCTGCTGGTAGTCGTTGAGCACATTCCTCTCTTTCTTTTGTACTCTTATACTATAAGTTATAGTTATACTCCGATGTAAATAACTCAAACTCATCGCATCCTCAGCCTCCGCCATCGTACCATTGCTGCTCCGACATTAATGTTGCAACGCAGCTTGCATCAGTGATGTTAATATTCTTGAAATCGATGGGGAATTACACATGTGACTGCTTTTTCTGTTGCAGGCCAACCAACACCACCAACCTTTGACACGTGTTGGGAAAACTTCATCCCTCACCAATTTCCGTCCTCTCTAGCATGCAACAGCAGACGCTGGCTGTTTCTTCTGTCAGGGGTTCGAATTTTGCGGTGCTTTACGTTTGCGACCTCGGCTGGTGTCATTCGATCAGTAATAGGCTAGCCAGCAAAGGTAAGAGCTTACGTAGCAGTCGCTGCCTCTCCACTTGTCACTATTGGGGCCTGAGTGGCGTTAGGTTGGAGAGGAGATGGGGTGACAGCCAGGGCTGCAGATCTAAGGTGTGCAGGGAGTGACAGATGGTGTTAGTCCGCTCTTGGCAATGTTCTCTGCTGGCAATGAAATGCACTGACCCTGAAGGGATATTCGCTGACCCAATGTTATTCTCCTCGTCCTCACCATCTGTTGCACTGAATGTCAAGGAAACCTCGCTTTTTAGTGTGTCATTTCGTGCATTTGGGAGTCTCACATAGAGCGGGCAGTCTCATTGGGGTTGACTATCACGGTGAGTGCAGCTAGCTCTTCACACCTCTTTTCAACTGATCTTCTGTCAATTCAACCCACTTAATCTGGCCATCCTTCCATCCTTTGAGTACCTCACACATGTGGTCGGCACATGCAAGCTTCGGTTCGATCAGTTTGCCACCTGGGTAATTCGTCATGTCAATTGCGATACAATGTTTGATCGTAAGTTTCAAATAATTCCTCAGCTGCCATTCCATTGATAACCTAGACCTCCCACTCAGTTCGCCTGTGTATTTAGTTAGTGTGTGCCGGAAAGCTTGGATGACGCCACTCACGGAGACTTATCCTAGTTACCTTGGCTATTTCTTCATGCATGGCTGCAGCTGTTGCATTATATCCCTGGACCATAGCTCATGCCTCATATCAGTAAGTAGTCATGCATTGATTTCAACCACATACTTTCTAATTTACCAACTACATGGGCCTCCATGAGGCGAATCTGTACTCCCATATCCACATGTGCTACAGCTGCCCAGAAGGCTTTGGCCTTATCTGTTCCCCAGATGACTGGTGCAAATAAGTCCTCTGAGTGGCCTCGAGTCATCAACACAAGTACCTCAACGCGGCATGACTGGTGGACTGATTTGGCCTGGTGCATTTGAGTACTAAATCCTTGCTCGCTTTTAGATGCCAGAAACGTACTATGCTCAGTAGTTGGTCCCACGCATAGATTGCAATAGAGTTCATGGATAACTCTGGTGAGATTATCGTCTCTTTCAACGCACAATTGTGCCTTTTAACCATAACGCCGTCCAGAATAACCTGGGAAGTGTACTCTTCCTCTGATGTCATGGGTTTTTGGACATCCTCATATGCGAGTTTCCCCCCATTGATGTCCTCAAGTACTTTCAGGTACTCCTCCTTGTAAGGCAGGTTAGGCAATGCCCCTTCTAGAGTACTCCATAAGCACACACCCCTCTTGCTCATGTAAGTTAATTCCTTACCTTTCAAACGTTCTGCCTCTGCCTGTGCATGGGCCCATGCATTGGGCATTGTGGGCTTACATGTCTTCTTAGGTTTTGATAATTTATAGATCACTTGGTTTCGGATCTGGCACTGGGAATAGTGATGGCCATGGCATGAAAACTCAAGCGCAATAGCTGACACCTGAACCTCGAAATTTGCCTTCAGTTGCATGATTTGCGCATTAAATTCCTGCTTTGTCATGTCCTTCTCTTTCGCTTTGGCCACTGAAACCATTTGGGGTGTCAGTATGTCCTATCACTTCGGCTTGAAGTAAGTAACTCCAACATTACCTTGCAGTGTTGGTGCAACTGACATTTCAGAGTGACTGTGTTGAATAGAAACAGAGAAAAACAATAACAAGCAAACTCAGGGTCTTTCAATTCATTGAACGTCCGTGCTTTATCAAATTTATATAATACTGAACTCCATTTTTTTAAACATATTTTAGCAGTAAATTCACATATGTTGTTAAATGTGTTTACACCCCTCGGTTTGCAGCTGCCACCTTTGCAAGTAAGTATGCCTCAGCTGGCATACGGTCAAAGCATTTAACCAGCATATCACAATAGCTGATTTCGTTGAACTCCTCAGATCGAGCCAAAAGAACAATGAAGTGTATATCTGTGTTGGTAAGCTGGCAATCCTTATCAGGAAGTTCATGAGGCTCGACGGCACAACATGATGACATGGGTGTACTGGCTGGTGGGACTGTTGAGTCCTTTGTTGGGGATGTGATGCTTGGGATAGGCAACTCATATGTTGACTGCAGAGTTGCCACATTTGCTTGAGTTAACACTGATGGCTCAGGGGTGGGATTGACTGGAACCACGGGCCGATGGCTGGCTACATTCAAGGATCCTTCAGCCTTTAGCTCATCTTAATTAGTCATCTTCCACTTATAGTACAACTGATGTCTTCTTTCCATTCAGTCAGCTAACTTCCCCTTACTCATTTCTTGTTTCCATTTATCCTCCAACCTTCTACTCTGCCCTCCTTGACCCAACACCTCAGTTCCCTGTTAAAGATATCGTTCGGAACCTTTCAGTACTTTTTGGTATCATTCGGTACCTTTTGGTATCACTCAGACTTTGACTAAAGTCCTTCTCCTCCTCCCTCTATATATACCTGTAGATCAGAACCCATTGTACCTCAGTTCTAATCTTGACTAAAACTTACCCCAAAGTTTCCCTATGAGTGATTCATGTCCCCCTCTTACAAGATACCTCAGACATCTGAAATTAAGGACTAACTGAGACATAACAGAGGCACAGCACTCCCTCTGAGTCGCTGAGGCCACATCCTTCTTAGAGCCTCTTGTATCAGCCTGCAGACCCAGGCTTCCTGGAGAAGCTCCAGTTCACTACCGGAGCTCTTGGAACCCCTCTAGTTGAGCCCTGCCTGCATCAGGATCGTCATGGTTTTGACACACTCCTCCTATCTCGCCCCTCTCCCTTCCTTCCCCACTTTCCTCTTTCTCTCTCTCTCTATTTCTGTTCTATGGTCAACTTTCCCTTTCTCTATGTACTATCATATCTGTACATACCTAACCCTGATTCAATTCCCGGACCCCCCTCCATCACCTCCAGAGTCCTACCCTATTCCCATCTGCTCCAATCCCCACCTTCGGACCTGACACCACCTCCCTCTCCTTCTGACTCTCTCCTGACCAGCCTCCACCAAGGTACAACCTTCTGCTCCCACTCCCATACCCCGAACTCAGACACCACTTGTACCTCCACTCCAAGATCCCATCATGTTCCTGACCTTGGACTTTGACTCCACCTTGGCTTAAGTCCATTGCATTGGTGACCTCATTTCACATAAATGCCATTGCCAATATTCCTCAGACTTCCAACCCCACCTCTGTAAGCTCCACTCCCCCCAAGCTTCACAGACCTACCTCAGCACTTTCGCCATCTGTAGGGTATACTTCGCACTTTTCCCTTACCCTTATTTGGACTACTGCTTCTTTCCATTTAGCCAGTTAGTCATCCACCCCACTTCTCCTCACCCTCCTGCCCCTTGGGCCCTTTCCCTCCTTGCCTCCTTTTGGATGCACCATAGAGTCTAACCGTTGACCCTCAGTGTAGTCCTGCATCCACATCTCCCTTTGTCTCCATTCAGACACCTTTGTTCTGTTTTGGACCCCCTGTCAGGGCACAGCCCTTGACCCCACTTGCCCTCAGACACCCTCACCCTTTCCCTAACCACCCTCTCCCCACATTTCCCCATTCCCCCTATCCTTCCCTCCACTGTTTCACACAATGATGTGCATGCACAAACCTGTGGAAATGTTCTGGGTGAGCGACTTGCCCAGAAATGCACAGCCACAGCCACAGGAACTTTCTGGGAGAGTAACTTGCCCATGACACATGACTGTGGGAACATTCTGGGCAAGCAGCTTGCCCAGAACTTTCCCATGGGTCACACCCATTATGGAAAGTCGGCAGCAAGTGGGAACTGTATAGTTCCTAGGGTCCTTTTGTGTCAGCCTCACAGGGGGCTGAGAAGCTTACCCTTCTTCTCAGCTCATTCCCTGTGAAGGCTGAGGCTAGTCCCCTCAGCAACTTTGAGGAGTTAGCAGCTGGGGAGGGCACCCCAGCTTCCACACCTTGCCTCGCCCTCCGGCCACTCCCAGCTGGGGTCCGGATCCTGACACCCCCTTTGTTTTCTCATGCTTCTGTCTCTCCAATATATATAGACACTTGTACATACTCGTTTGCCCCTCAGTCTAAAATCGACTTGATTCCCCCCTAAGAGACTTCCCCCTCACTAGATCCGAAATTAGGGACCCCCAGGACAACCAGCAATGGCACAGCACTCTGCCTGATGTCAGGGCACACCCACCTGACCCCACTCCACCCAGTCCGACCCCGCCTGATCCCACTACCCTCACCTGGTGCCCCCACCCTCCTTCCTCCCTTCTTCCCTCCTCCCACCTTTCTTTCTTCTTTCTTCTCTCCTTTCTTCCTTCTTCTTTCCTTTTCTATTACATGGACGACTTTCCTTGCATCGATGTACCATTAACCCGCTGCGCAACATGCCTGGACCCGGACACACTGGGTGATGCCCTGCACACCAGACACTCCTGGGATCTCTCATGGAGATACCCAGGTGGATGCAGCTGTGTGCATAGATGACGTGGCACCCCCCATGTGACCTTCAACCGCATGTACATAAACACAGCCTAAGTGGGAACTGAGAAGTAACCTTCTTCTCACACTTCCCACTTTAGTCTAAGTGGCCAGGGATGCCCTTTTGTGCCGGGCCCACTAGTACATGGGCCCATGTTACACCCTATCAGGCCCTCAGTGCCGGGTGACACATCCAGGTGCTCTCGACCCCGGGTCGCTCCCTGACACCTGAGTCACTGAGGCCAAGGTCCTTCCACAATAAGTCTCCAATTCTATTCTGGAATCATCCGAACCCACCATATCTAACATGTACTGCCAGTGTGCCTGCATACCCAGGAGCACTGTGCACCCTTCCTGTACCACTACACCCTCATGCCACTGCCTCCATCACCACACCCACCATGTACATCCTGCCCACACAGTGGCCACCCCTGGGATCTCCCACAGGGACACCTGGTGTCAGGGATGGTGCAGGAGAGGCAGGGTAGCGGTGTAGCCCCCAGCACTAGTGGCCTGGGTGGTGGCAGAGTAACGGGAGTGTATAACAGGCAGCCCTCACTCAGGCTTGTGTCTCTGTCTGGCTTCTTAGGCTGAATGTAAGTTATTTACTTAATTGTGCTATATGCGCGATATTATGTTTGCCTCACACTTCCAGACTGTCGAATATGCTATAATAGGCTGTATTTTCAATGGGGAAGTCAAGGCTCATTCACCCTTGCAACATTCCCACGCTTCCATATATACAATGTTTATACATATTTATTATGCAACAAATATACAATAAAGATATAGGATGAAGGATGGGGCAAGTGTTGCCACCACTCCTTACACTGAAGCAGGAATGGTTGTTATTAGAATGAAAAGCTAAACTAAACTAAACTAGGGTACTTGCCTGAAGCAGGAATGAGAAGAAGGCTACTTCTTCAGTTCTGCTTCAGCTCAGTTTATATACAAGTGGGAATGGGTCACATGAGGGTGCCACATCAGCCCCAGACAGAGCCGGGCTATCTGTTAGATACAGGTCCGGGGTCGGCACCAAGGGTCGCTGTTGCGGGTCACTAT